GGCCTAGGTTGCCGCTTTCCATCACTGACTAGAAGGTCTACGTGACCACGGGATCCACTCCGTCTGTTGTTCATCACACAAATGTGTATAATAAAAAAAATTGAGTTTACTTAGATTATGGATCAGGACACCGTTTAGTGGCAGGGGAGACTGTTAATTCCATTGGTAATTAGTGTCGACACCGGTTGTTTATTTGAAATGAATTGACTTTGTCTACTGTCCGTTTTTCCTGATTTCTCTTACGATTTACATCTCTCCCCTGTCTTAGATATTAGAGATTTCATTGTGGACGATCGCAATAATGAAGCTCCGACAAAAGCTACGAGACGTATTGTGCATAAAGATGCAGCACTACAACAGGCCCAGTCCATATTCGGCGTGGATTTTGACATGTCTGAGTTTGAGGCCTTTCGTAAAGGTCGTGCGGAAGATGATGAATATAGTGAAGAATCCGAGGCCGAATATTCCGACGATGAGGAGGCAGCTGCTCGACCTCGCCGTAAAGGTCGGAAATCTCGATCCAACTTGCTGATGGACGATCGTGTCTATGAATTCTTCGATCCCAGTGATCTCGAGCGCGCTTACTATAGCCTTGCTGACGATCGTATTCGAAAAACAGATGTTCCCGAGAGATTCCAACTGCGGCATGTACCCGTAAAACGGGTTGATCCATCTTCTCCCAACTATGCACAAGAAATACAAGAGTTATCTGATGAGGCGGCATGGATCTATGCTCAGGCTTTTAAAGAGGAGACAGAGTTCAAAGTGAGTATTGTGTATTTCACACTTATTCCTTCAGCCGACTTCTGTGATACCGAAAATCCTGGACACGTTGAAATTGTTGAGAGAATCCTTGTTTGAGGTGCCTTTCATTGCACTCTATAGGAAAGAGTGCATCGAACGTGATCTAAACATCAAAGATTTATGGCGTATTTATCAATTAGATGAAAAGTGGACCATTCTACAACAACGAAAACGCAATATGATTCAGTTGTTGCAAAAATTACATGACTTTTTCAATAGCATCTCTCCAGACGATCCCGGAAGTGTACATAAAAAGCATAGTGCTTCTCTCCTCAAATTAATCGCATGGTTAGTTTACTTTTTGTTCTTCTAATCTGTTTATTTTTTTAGTGTCCGCAGTGCAGAATCAGTGGAGGAAGTGAACGATGTGCGTTTAAACTATTTGCTATACTACGCTTGCTACGCCGAACCCATGAAGCGCTGGCTCAAGAAGCAAAAAGATAAAAATACCTCGGATAAAGTCAGTGTTAATCAGCACGTAAATAATCACACTGTATTCTTTTTTCAGGATGAAGCTGAAGAAGGCGATCCACTGCAAGACTTCAACCTCGACTCGGTTGACAAATCCGTCCCAGTCACAATGAGCGTTGATCCTTTTACTGGACGCCCAATCCGTCAACGACAGGCCAGAGCAACCGCTTCTTATGAAGTCGCACAACGTGCCGGCCTGGGTGGATTAGTGCAGCGCTTTGGTTTAACTGCTGCACAGTTTGCTGAAAACGTCCAGGACCAGTATTTGCGGCATGACGTGGACCAGTGTCCCATGCTACCACTTGATGCCGCGGGTGATTTTCTGAGCCCTCAGTTTCCCACGGCTAGTGTGGCCCTTACAGCTTCACGTTATATGCTTGCGTTCCAGATTTCTCGTGAGCCATTTGTTCGGAGAATGATGCGACAAATGTTTCAGTTGCAGGCCGTTATTACAGTTCGACCCACACCTCGAGGCATGAAGGAAATAGATGAATCGCACCCACTTTTCACCGTGAAATATCTTAATAGGAAACCTGTTGCCGATCTTATGGGTTCACTTCTATTCCTTCAACTGCATAATGTGAGTTTTCACATCAAGTCGTCAGTTTCATTCATATGTGACCATTATCTTGCCAAATTCCCCTATCTTTCGGCGTTTTTGACCAAAGCCGCACTTTTAAGAGTTTGCCATCGTTCAATCAACCCGAGATTTTTCAAATCAGGTTATTCCGTACGAGAGTGGCCCAAATCACTCCTGGGCACGTAATCGAGGTTCATCGTCATGAGTCCGCTTTCATGACAGCCAATTGTGTTATCTTGCTAAGTGTTTCATCTCTTCTTTTGGAGCTTTATTCGGTTTGTCATTTTAAGGCTCGTAGCTTCCGATCCCAGTTCACATAACCAGATAATTAATTTGTCTAGCTACGGAATTTACCCCGTCTGGTATCTCCGTACCACAACATGTAACAAAAGAAAATGGTAAAACGAAAACCGCTAACTGCGAATCAGTGGCTACGTTGGAAAACTTGATGGTGTCATGGACTGTGTTCTCCGTTCGTGTGATTGGTTTTAATGAATTTTCATATATATATATATATATATATACAGGTGTTGACCAAACTCGTGCAACATCACCCTCATTTTGAAAATCCATTTCAGCTTGCAATAGCATACTTATATATAGATGGTTATGCGTACAGTGTATTTATTCCTAACTTTATCTCCAACATCTACGTTCTTAGCTCATTTCTATGATCATTTAAATGTGCGCGACCTTGAGTGTCG